ATTGGAATTCATGAGCGAGTAAGAAGTGACATCGAAGGTAGCCAACCACCAACATCAGCTACCTCTGGCACATCAGAAGGAGTCAAGCGGGTGCCAACTGCAACAAATCCTAATGCTGAAGATGCTGCAGAGCTTTTAAGGTATGCTTTGCATTATTCCTTAGTAAGTAGTCCTGTCTGTAGTCTGTTCATAAAGCCCCTTTATAAGTTCAGTTAGTTGTTAAAAATAATAACATTGAATGCATTTTGGATAGTGTTCATGTATCACTTGATGGTGTGTGTGTGTGTGTGTATATATATATATATATATATATATATACACACTACTTGAGTGTTGATAGACGGAGTGGAGACTATTTCATAGGACATAGACTAATATATGGGTGATGTGCAGAATCTAAGTAGGGCATTTCCTTGAATAATGAAGCATTGTCGTTTCCTAATTTTTATGTAAAATATGCAGTTCTATCTTCCTCTAAGCTCTATCTTGGAAAATGCCATGATGTTTGAAATAGATAATAGTAATAACCTGGAAATATTCTGTGTAGAATGTGCTTGCAGTGTGGGATTCCCAAGACCTACTCCAGTGCTCGTGGAATGGTGTGCCCTGTATGTGGTGATCGCCCTCCAAATGATAGCAGCACAGAGTCCAAGAAGAAAGGATCGACTGTCAAAGATAAAGAAAAATCTAAAAGAATGAAGGGCCAATCATCCCATGCAACCTGGAAAAGTGAAACAGAGATGCAACTTAGGCAACAGTTTGATTAGCCTTATCTTTGTTTCCTTGTAAGTTAGGTTACCAGTTACCTGTTATATATAATTTTATGTGGTTAGGACTATGATTTTTAAATTCACAAATTTCGATTAACAACGCCAACTTTGTAGCTTAAGTCAGATTTTTGTTCGGTAAGAGAGATCTCTTCTGGCTCTGTAGTTTCTATGTATTGCAACCAAGAATTATTCTTCGGAAATATAAATTTTAGGGCATCTTCGAATAGTTTAAAGAAAAGCCGTTAAAACATGGTTGTGATAATCTTTTACTAGTTAAGAGATATTAAAATCATATTTTAAAATTAATTATTACGTTTTAAAAAATATTAAAAGACAGACCAATGGTCTTTTATTTTTCATCAAATATTCAGATTGTTACTTTGTTAGAATAGAGTAAAATTATGGAGCATGTTTGGTGTGTGATCCTTTCATTTTTGTATATGTATTAGAAAA